CCACCACCAACCACATCCCGCCTCGGATTCAGTGGCATGAGCCAAGTGTGGCATTGTGTTTGTTTTCCCCTCGACGTTTTTCCTCATCGGGAAAATAGGTTGGCAATATTTATCTTTGGGGTGCCGCTACGGCACCGTGCCTGAACGGGGGCGCGAGCTTCTGTCACAGCAAAGCAGAATTTTTCTACTTTTCTCCCCCTGCTCCTTTTGTATAGGAGCGATTTTATTTTTTTATTTGAAAGAATAATACGTCGATGAAAGTGGGTGGAAAGGCTGTTGGAGATATATTGAATACTACTTTATAGCAAAAACTATTCCAGGATAACGTGACTCTAGCACGGCCCCCTAACAGTATGATCAGGGGGTGGGGGATCGGGAAGGCTTAAGCAGATAGTCTGATCGAGGTGGGAAAAAAGGGGTGGGTAGAGGGTGGAACTTGCGGGGCAGCAGACGGGGACACGATGGGGGAGGGGGCAGAGGGGTAGTAAAGGAAGGGGGGGGGGCAATACTGTCTGGGGCGAACGCTGCCGCCGCCACCGCCGTGTGCGGGGAAAAGAGAATATGCCCGGAAGGGAAAATGAAGAGAGAAAGAAAATACAAGAAAAGGGGAAATACCGAGAAACTGGTTCGCGGGCGCCAGCAGGGACGGGTTGGTTACTCGCTTAAAATGTCCACCAGCCCCCCCCCCCTTCCTACCAAGGCCTCCTTCAATCAGCTACGTTATTTCTCCCTCAACCCCCTGTTCTCGTTTCCCCTCACCTCGTGGCGTCAACCCTCCCCGGCAGTCACCCGACAAGCTACCCGCATCGCCCAGCGCAGCGGCGGCGGGTGCGAGTGCGAGTCACCTGGAGTCGGCTACACTGCATTGGAGTCCACACTCCCAAGTTCTCGGAGCAGCGCGCGGGAGAAGCAGGGAGTGCGGTGGTAAAGCAGGTCCGGGCGGGGGCGTGGTGGCCGAGAAGCGACCGAGAGTTACAGCCCGATTTTATTTCCGGTTTCATTCGGGTTGAGGCAGCAGCAGGAGGTGTAGCAGCAGCAGCAGCAGCAGCTGGGGCCGCAGTCTCCCTCCTCGCCGGCCGTGCACGCCGCGCACGCGCAATGTTTTATCACCTTCCGAATAATTCCCCGGGTCAGGGAGGAGGAAGGACGGGGTGGGGGTAGCAGCGTAGGGGGATTGCTTCCACCGTGAGGCAAAGACGTTTGCGTTTGTTTATTTATATCACTCTCTTTCCTCCCCCGTCCACTTCCACCAGCGACCGCTGCTGCTGCGCAAGCTCCATGCACACTCAAATAGGAAGGGCAGAGTTTTGCTCACTTGGCTAAGACAATTGTTGTCTTGTGCATGCCTAAATCGGATGTGTATTGGTTACTCGACTAAGGCCCCATGCCCAAAGCGAGAGGCATTTGCCCCCAATAAGCAATAAGGCAAAAATTGCAACTTTAAAGAAACAATTCTTTGCATCTGGTTGAAATTTGTACAAGAACGCGACTAAGCAATATGTCAGGTGTACAAAATTGACATTTTCCCACTCATTGTGTAAGTGTAACCAACGGGTTGCATGCAGGCTACAAAGGGTCGGCGGTGGCTTGAGGCAGAGCGGTGATCGGAGAGGAATCCTCTTACATCTGATTCGCACACAATGCGGTGCCGGACCCTATGAATACGGCGGGGATTAAGCCCACGCGGGATTATAGGGCTGGGCGCAGAGGGGCTGCTGTTGCTCAGGGTGTGCCAATTAATTTAACACGATTTGCTTCGTTAAATCCTCGCACCTAGTCATTATTTTTCTCATTTAAAAAAGAGTAGGGAAATCGAATTTAAACATGAATTAAAACACTCATAAGATCCGATCCAATGAAAAGAACAGTGACGAAGCTAGGTCTGATTTTCACTAGCAACTCTTCTGATTTTTTTCTGTAGATTTTTTCATACACCAAAATGACATTATTCAGACAGTTGAAGGGACTCTTGCGACCATTTCCGGAAAATTTCAGCAAAATATCCCGCGATGTATTGCAGTGTGAGCATGTGTGGGTAAGTGAGAGAAGGGGCTTTGGCAGCAGAAGGGCACAGAGGGGCCGGGGATGGGGAAGGAGTTTGCAGGGTCGCACGGGCGGGGCGAGTGATGTGAGCAAGAAAGTGCGCCGGCAGGCCGTGCGGGGTGGGGCGTGGCGGGGCGTGGTGGGGCGTGGCGGGGCGTGGCGGGG